CCCCCCCCTCGCCCCCCCCCCCAGTACACAATTGTAACTTAATCTATTTCTATCTTCGTAAAGCCCAAATTTTACGTCTCACAAGAGATAGGAACAAAGAGTGGAAGAAATCTTTGTATATAAATTAAAACAAAAACTAATTCATATTTAATTAACCAATCAAAGTAATTATAATTCAATATTTTTGACCAAATTCGGTCGGAAAAATACTTTTATATAAATTAAAATATTAATTTAATAATATTTGTGTGCGTAAATAATAATGAGGTTTTAAATAAAAAATATTTAATATATATATATATATATATATATATATAGCTTATGTTATATCGAATATAGCTTATATACTATACACTTAGTATAATATAATGGCTATTTAGTATTTAGTATAGGGATGCACAGGCCCAACCCCAATGGTTATTTAGTATTTGGGGTTTTGACACAGTTACTCACAAAAACGAAATTATTTATCCTTGTCTACCCATTTGTTTTTCTACCCATAAACTAATTACATTTCCTATCCATAGTAGTTTTTGTAGGGAATTTTTTCTTTATTCTCCAATTCTTTTTTATTTCTATGCTTCTTTTCTTCTTCTTTTTCTTTTTTCTTTTCTTTTCTGCTTTTCTTTTTTCTAGTTTTCTTCTTATTTTTTTCTTTTTTTCCTTTTCTAACTTATTTAAATTTTTTTATATTGCCTTTTTCTTCATAATCTAATTTTATTTACCGTTTTTACTATTTTTTATTATTGTTTTTTATACAATAAGAAATATTTAGTAAATATTTTTCACATTTTTTAAAATATAACTAGTACAATATACCTTTTATTTTATTTTTCTTTCTCTTTTTTTTAATTTAATTATTAAACTGAAATAATATCAGTTGTCACTTGATCTAATATTTTAAGTATCACATTGACTGCTATTGAGCACCATAAATTACATAATCAGATTTTAAGAATCAACACGTGATTGCCATGCAAACCTTGATCTCCTTCCCTATAAATATCAGTACACACTCTACCATTAGCAGTAATACAACCAGTTATAGAGCAAGAAAACATAATCTACGTCAACCAAATCTCTATATATACTCGTTAGAATAAAAATGATAATAAAATATTTAAAAATAGAACAAAAGTATAAGTAGCGAAAAATACTTCTAGTACCATGTGATACCAATATGGTATATATGTATACCAACAAAGCATATGATTTCTCTAGAATATTGCTACAACTATCTGCGACTATACTACTCTACCAAAACATTAAAGGACCCAATAAAAGTATGAGAAAATTACATGCTCGTATTGCAAGATAAATATTCACAAAACAACTTGTTCATTTCGTATACTAAGAGGGTATATAGTTGTATGGGGCCGTTCCAACAATTGCCTATAACTATAAAAACTATTAATACACATAATTTATGTCCATCGGCACACAAAAAATCTAGC